GAGCATTCAAGCATTTCTTAAAGCATGTAGTAATGCTCCGAACAGCGTTTCTCGTCTCAGAGAATACTAGGGGGAGGTTTGCTCCGAAGGTCGTACTTTTGATTTATTAACCCCTAAACAGACCCATAAATAACAGCAATTTAGCACCTTTAAGGCATTTATACTAGGCCTCGAAGCGAACTTATGTATTTCGAAGCCGTTGTTATTGATTTTTTGATGCCAAGATCTTTGTTTTCGAAAGCCAAATATTTCATTTCGAAGCTGGCCCCAATCCCCGAATAACTCTTCCCTCCACAAAAACTATCAATATTGAAGTACATTCCTCGCATTCGTACTTTTAGTACTTACCGGAAGGGCCCAATCCTTCCACTTCTGAAATCCCCCAGCAAACCAACCCTTCAGAACATTCGCCGCCTTCTACATTTGTATATAATGAAGGTAGTTATAAGCCTGCCATTCCACCAACGATTTCTCTATAACTAGTCTATGATTATTTACAGCTGTAATTGATACTATTCTTTTCTCTACAGCTCTATAACATTGAACTGTTTTTTGAATTTTGTTGTAGGTGAAGAGAGTCTTTCTGATGTATTGGGACTCCGCACTAAACTTTAGTTTGGGAAGTGGGAACTTTTTAGGTTAACTGTTTTTTGAATTTTTTTTATGAACTGTTTTTAGGTGAACTATTTTTTGAATATTTTTGATGTTCTATATTTCATAGGTGCATTTGTTGGGGAAGGTGGTCTGGATGATGTAGCTACCGGGTCCACAACTCCCAATTCAACAGGTAGTTTGCAGCACTGTCAAGATAAAGTTTTCCTCTTCATTTTTGTTTGTCCTACTTTGTTGTTTGATTGATATAGTTTCTATAGTTTTAGTTTTGTTTGATTCATATATTTATAATGTTTTTAATTTTGATGTTCTATATTTCATAGCTGCCACTGTTGGGGACACTCAGCACAACTCACCACCACCGCTGACCCCCAATCCAACCGGTTTAATAGTTTGTTGCACTGTCAAGATAAAGTTATCCTCTTTTTTTTTTTGGTCTTACCTTGTTTTAGTGGTTATGAGTTGTGAATTATTTATTTTGATTATGTGTATGTCCAAATTATTAGTCTATGTTAATTATTTATTTTTTATTGAAAGGTGTGCCTCGCTTCAATGAAGCGTGCACCTCACCTTGTGCCTAAGCCACAATGAAAAGTTTTGGAAGTGAGAACTTTTTAGGTTAACTGTTTTTTGAATTTTTTCGATGAATTGATTTTGGCGGTGTTTGGGAAGCCTAGGTAGAGGCTATTTTAGCCTCAACAATAAAAAAAGCCTTTTAGCCCCTTTAGGCCATTGATTTAAGAAAAAAAAAAAAATAGCCCGGCTGTGGGCTGTCACAGTGACAGTGTAAGACTGTCACTGTGACAGGTTGGTTAATTACAATTTTACCCCTCTAAATTAATTTTGAAAAATGTGATGTCATTTTAACTTCAAACATCATTTCAACACATTTTTCAATACACCAACTCAAATAAAAATCCATCCCATCTTCCCAAACACAAACTAAAATAGCCTATTAAAATAGCCAAAAAGCCTCAATTGAAGTATTTCATAAAAATGAACACTTACAATGGTCCGAACTCAGCCTCGGAGAGGTTTACAACAGCAATCTACTTGAATCTACTTGAAGCTACTCCTATGAATCGAAGTGCAGTGCGGGTATTTAAAGTGCAGGTATTTAAAGAACAGGTATTTAAAGACTGGAAATGTAAAAGACTGGAAAAGAAAATATATGAAGTAAATGACTGATTTGTATGATCTGAGTACTCCCTTTTCTTTCTGGGGGCTGCCCTGCTATTTATACTCGTCAGTGATGACCTTCGAACTGCACTTCGATCCGTCGAACTGCTCCTCCATGATCGCTGATCATGCTTCCTTACAAGTAGCTCCATTACGCCATTACTGGCAGTTGAGCTTCCCTCTTGTACTGGAATTTGAATATGAGTAACCGTTTGAAGATATGTCATCTTGCATCCCGTTATTGCTCTAGTGTTACTCAGATCATGTGAGGACCAATATTTATTGCCACGTGTACGATCAGGATTAAAGGCTTGAATAACCTTCCTTTATTACCCTTACTCTGCCACGTGTCGAACTATAACTGGCTTTTACAAAATATGTAGCCAACAATTTTATATATATATATTTAAATTAATAAATTAACTCTTTTTTTTTTTAATTTTCCAAAACAAGCCTAACTAAAAAAAATAAAAATAAAAATAAATTTGTTTGTTGTTTATCTTTGTTTTTAGAGCTTATAAATAGTTTTTATAATTTTAAATTCTTTTTGTTTAAAAAAAAAAGGTTTTATTTCTTTGTCATTCTTTCATCTTATTGTTTATCACTACCATTGGTCGCTTATTCCACCTTTAGCCACATTCTCCAATGACCTCTTCTAACAATTAACTCTACCAATCGACAACCACGTTTTGTCGTCCATTAGTGGTCAACCATCTTCACTGATGAAAACCATTGTCAATCACTACTTTGAAGGAAATCACATTTGGTCATAACTTTTTATGATTAATAATCACTTTTAGTCACTATCTTCAACCGTTGGTAGTTATATTCGGCCATCGCCATTTATCTCTTGTCGAAAATTACATTTGGCAACCAACAATCACTTCCAATTGTTGATAATTATCTTTGATCACCACATTCTCTATCCACCTATTTTCATTTTTTTTTTTTTAAAAACCCAAAAATAAATAGAAACATATTTAATATTTTTTATAAAATAAAAACAAAAACAAAAACAAAAACAAAAATAAACAATAAACAATAATGATATGTATAGGTTCAAAAGAGATGATTTGTATTTTTTTGGACCTATACAATAAATGATGTCTTAAAAGTTCACAAAAAAAAAAAAATAATAAAATAAAAAAATAGATGATATGTATTTTTATTTAATTATTTTCATAATAATGATTAAATTTGAATATCAAATTTTGAATAGAATCTATTCATTTCAATTTAGATATCCGCTAGGCTTCAAAGAAAGGTCCATGATGACGAACCACTATTGTCGGTTGTGTTCGGGCTTTCCAATTGAACTGGGCTTTTTGAGTTTTGAATCAGAGTTGGTCTAGGATTGGCTTGATTCCAACCCATTCCAAATAAAATACAATGTTGGTGGGCTGGTAGTTTACATACAAACCAACAAAAATATAAAAATAAAAATGGGCTGGTAATTGAAGATTCTGTAGATGAGATTGTCAGTGTTTGAGAACCACCTTATGCCAAAAGAGATGAGTAATGCCAAGAACACATAATGAATTACAAAAAATGTAATGGAAAGTTGAGATTTATTTTGAATGTGAATATCACTATAGTTAGGTTTAATCTCAAGAAAGACCTATACTTGGAGACTAATTTTGAACAATACGTACAGAGCAACACAACTAGTGTTGGAGATTTCTTTAAAGTTTCAAAACTTTATTTGTATTTATTTATTATTTATTATATTATTTGTATTTATTTATGCATTTTTTTTGACAGTCATATTTGTTTAAATTTTAAACTTTATTTGATTTCATAAGAAATGGATGTATTTGTTCTTAACAAACACCATAGAGCCTATTTACACAGGACTCTAACTCAGGAAAATATATAACGTATTCTGATTCTCTCCCTCTTCTCTTTACTGTAATTTCTTTATTCCATATTTCTGGACAACTAATACAAACTTGGCAAATCTTTCTGGTACAACTGTGTATCATGTCAGATCTTGTGAGTTTTTGAGTTGTATCTTAGAGTCATTTGTGGTCGTTAAAACCTGCATGGAGGGAGCGCATAACGATTTTAGGACAACGTGTTTAACGTGCCTCTCACAATTACACAGACTATTTTCTAAACCCTTTTCTTCATCTTCTTCTTATTCTAATATATATATATATATATATATGGTTTTATCAAATTGGGAAAAACCTAGTTTCAAAATCTATTTTGTTTAATATCTTTATTCTGTAAAATTGATTTAGAATTATTGTTTAATTCCCACAACAACTAGCACACTGGTATATTACTCAGAAATCCATTTCCAAGAACTCTTTTTCCTTCCACTTCCCCTCCACTAACAAAAAAAAAAAAAAAAAAAAAATACACACACGATATAATGCAAGTGAACAAAATTATTTGCCTAATACCTAATTCAAAAATAAAAATAAGAAATAAATTTGGGCAAACAAAATTCAAACAAAGCATATCTCCATAGCATATAGATATAGCTTGCTGCCAAATTATCTATTATAAAATTATAGGATGATGGCCACCAGTGGAAAGTTGAAAACTGAATTTTGGGTCCACTTATAATCCACATCCATTCAGTTAGTAAATGTAATCAGCGGGCATGATTCACTTATAAGTAGTGTCCATTTAAGCCTATATTTGTTTTCTTCTTTTTATTTTTCTGCTGTTAAAAAGTTAAACATTAAAAAAAAAAAAAAACTCTAGTTTTTAGAGCAAAATGTATAGATATCTTTTCGGCCTGTAACCAAAGTCTAATTTACAGAAAGTGCACAAGTTGCATATGGGCCTAAATTACTTAATTAATAGTCACTTTTTCCCATACATGAACCGTGGTGAAACCAATATCTAACTCAACAATCCTAGAAACACACAATATATTTTACAAGAGAAAAGTTAGGAATCATAAAAAAAATTTCATGAAAATGATCACGAAAGAGTTATAATCCTTAAATTATCTTGATTAGTGTGTGGTGCTTTATTTTAAATGTAATTCAAAGGTCATAAAACTTTCATGATTATTTTCATGAAAGGTTTTTCTTGATACCTAACATTACTGATTTTACAATATTTGTTGATGACACCTATTACTCAAAAATTCTATGAAATTATTTATTTTCTGTGTCTAATTGCTTGTTCCACGGTGTAGTTCAAGAAAACTTATAAATTTTGACTTAAAATGTATACAAAAAGTCATCATATAGCTCTAGCAACACTGCTTTCTTTTAAATTATACACTCTGAAAAATAATAACACAATACGTTTATATGTGACAATAGTTGACATACCATACAAGCTAAATCACTCTGTCTATGCACTCCTAACAAGTAAGTACCTCTCCATCAGAGTATGTTTTCATTCCAAAAGCACTGTGACACTTGGAACTTGGAAGTACAGTCAGTAAGAATAGCTCTTAAATTTTGGCCCCGCGAATTACATATACCTGCGAGGGATTAATCAGGATGAAACCCTGAACACTCGTGAAAAAAAAACAGAAAAGAAAAGCAAAGAGAGGAGTTTCTAATTAAGGCCATAGTTTTAATAGTATCAGGATATATATCAATAATACAGTAATATATATCGGCCGATGACAGTATCAAAAGTCTAAAATCCAGATACATATCGGCAGATAAATAAAATATGGATTTAGACCTATGGGGTCACACAAATTCTAATGCACTCTTACAAAGAAAATGCTCAACTCAGGCCCTGCTAAACCATCTGGATTGATCATATACAAAGCTTCTGAGTCCTTAGAACCAACCACTCTGTCAAACCTTGCCCTGATGTATGTCAGCTCCCCGTCGGCTGCTGTTTCCTTCTCGGATGGACTCGGAAGCACCCCTGCACCCATTGACACCCCTCTCAGAAGCTGCATAACATGAAGCTCATCATCACCCATTTGCTTTCTCCTTATACAGTACCCAATTTTTCTTCCATTGCAATACACTGCCCACACAAACTCCTCCAAAAGCTTCTTCTTCTGAGTCTTTGTTTCGCTCTCTAGCGCGATTCTGACTATGTCCGAAGCCATTTCTTTGTGGAAAGCACTCGTGAGGAGCGGTAGCTCTATGATAAAGACTGGTAGGCGATGAGGGTCTTCTTGGACGGCTAAAAATAGTCGTCCTTTTCGGTATCCGAAGAGGGTTCCAGTGGTGGCATTGTCTTTCAAGAGGGCTTTTCGTGGTCGGCCTAATAGGGCAACCATCTTGCACCCGGAGGTTAACATTGGGAAGAGCTTGAACACTCGAAGTAACCCCCCACGGCTGCTTTTAACTCTTTTGTGGTCGCTGGTCGTGGTGGTGGCGGCGGCTGCAGTGGCAGTGTGTTGAAGTAATGTTAGTAGGGCTGGATTGTCCATGTGCCGGTATGGACTGGAATGAACAGTTGGCATATTCGAAGAAGGCTTTGTTTTGAGGTTTTGAGGTGGGAATTGGATGGGTATGTTGGAGAAGAAGAGTGGGAGAGATGGAAGAGAAATATATAGAAAAGGGATTAGGAAAGGATAAAAGAGGAGTTACGGAAGAGGGTTGGTTTGTGTTGTGTTAATCTTTGAGGACTTAAAGTGGAGAAGGGAAGGCCCCTCCAAGTTGGTTTAAGAGAGAAGTGAGAAAGGTCTAGATCATTTTTTCAATATCCCATACCTTAAACCATTTCTCTACCACAAATAGGTTTTTGTGATCTAATTGGGGATTTTTGGTCTCATGGTCTCAAGTAATTTCTATACCGAATAATAGGTCTCTCCGACCTAATCATATGCTGGAGAGGTATTTTAAAAATGGAGAATGAAAGATTTGAACAAAAGACTTTTGCCGACTAACTAACTCTTTTTTATTTTATTTTAATTTTGCTCAAAATTTTATTTTGGGGAAGGGGAAGGGGGGCCTAAACTTTGATGTGACCAAGTTTAGTGATGGAAAAGAATGGTTGCGTGAATGTGATAAGATAAGACTGGTCGGACCACAAGTTGTGGGGAAGGAGGGGTAGAAAAAATGTCCAAAAAGATGAAAAAGGGGCTCTTTTAATGCTGGTTTGGCATGTGCTTCTCTGATCATTACTGGGCTTATCACCATCACTTGCTTTATGCGTTCTTTTTATTTTCATTTTTCCAATTCCACAACCAAACGCTCTCTAATTATTGAGGTGCAACTCATCTTTCCCCAAACAGTTCTCTCCTGTTTTCCAATGGCACTTCATTTTCCTTGAATTAGTGGCTTTCTCATTCTGTCATTCTCACTGTCTTCCCAACCAACATGAAAATCTAGCCCAGCAGATTCAATTAAGTCCCTAATTTTTTTTTGTGTGTGAATGATTTACATAAAAATAAGATAAAAATTAAAAAATAAATAGAATAGATCATCGAAATAAGATGGATGGTGAGCCTGAACATGTCAAATACATTGTATAGACCAAGCCAATATGTCTCTTTTCTTAATATTAATATTAAACTCCACCCAAACATTTCTCCGGATAAAGAATAGTTTAAACTTCATGAGATTAAACTTCATATATCCAAATCTAAGAATTCTAAGAAGCAAGTCATTTCTTAAAACCGTCCTACTTAGAAACATGTGGATATGGTGCCCTTAGAGGGGTGTTTTGAGAATTTGGCTTTTAGTCACTTTTTTAGATTTGTAGCAAAAGTCAAAAGTTGGCCTTTTTATATATATATATATTTTCATTTGGGAAGTTAGTTTTGAGCCACAAGTGAAATTACAATTCTACCCCTCATGGGTCAAAATGTGCTACATGGATGAAGTTGTAAATATTTTAAATTGAATGGGGTTAGTTTGGTCATTTTATTGTGATTTGACATCGTAAACAAATATTAATAAAAAAAGTCAAAAGTAAATTTTTACCAACTTCCAAATCATTTGTCTTAAAAAGCTAAAAGCTTAGTTAACAGCAAAAAAATTACTTTTTACCATCTTCCTGAATGGTAAGAACGCTCCTCACTGGATTGGTTTGGTAAAGTTCTTAGCTGTGATAACCCTCACAACTGCTTACCGATAAACCTTGATAACTGATAACTGAACTGATTATGACTGATAATTGAACTGATTAAAGTACTGAACTGACTGACTGACAACTGGAACTGAATTGACTGAGTATGTACGTTTGAATTGCATTCTATCTGTTGATTGTCTATTTGATCTGTTCGTATTTTAGTGTTTAAACTGCTAATTGAAGGCCTTATCGGCAGCCGAATCCGGAATTGATTGATGTTTTATGATCCTCATAATTAATGTGAATTTATGGTATAATTATCTGAAAACCGATTAGGTATGATTAAATTAGATCAAATGGTACCAAATTACATGAATTGGACTTATTTACAACCTTGCCCTTGAGTGGGCCACTACCTATACACCTTTGAGTTCATTACACTTGAATCAAAACGTTTTCCTCAGCCTTCTTCCTTGCCTTGCTGACCATAGAGAGAGAGAGAGACTAGAGGAGTGGATTTCATCTCAATTTTGCTTGTACATTGCTTGGTAATTGAAGGAATTGGAACATAGGTTGCAAGTTAAGCTTCCTCACCTTGTAACTAAAGCTCTAGGTAAGGAATTCAACTCCTCTTTGTTGTGTTTGAGCTTATTCATGCAAGATTCTTGAGCCTCCAGTGATTTAAGCCTAGAATTGGTTCATTGTTGTTGATTTGAAGCTCATTTCATGCATGCATGTTCGTAATGTAGATGTTTGAGTTGTTTTCATGGCAAAAGGTTACATGCATGTTCATAATTATGTTTAAGTCCATGATTTCATCATGTTTTGAAAAGAATTGGCTCCTTAGAGCATCAAATTGGAGCTTCAAAATGATTTAAATTCATGCATGTTTGCATGTCCTCCATGTTCATGAAATTGAGTTTGAATTAAACACCATTGGGCCTTGATTTCTCAAAATTGAGCTTTGAACCACGTCATTCTATATGTTTACAAGTGTTTTCTGGAAATTCAGCCCAAGAGGATCGGTTTTGATGCATTTAAACTTGGTTTTTGGCTTGGAGGTGCAATCTGGGTTTTCCAGATTTTGCACTTCCGCTCGAGCGGGGAAAGTGGCGCTCGAGCGTGGAATCCGAGCATCCAGCATTCTCTGCACTGTTTTACAATCAGCTCGAGCGGAGGAATGGGCGCTCGAGCGGAGGATTGTGTCTCAAGCTCGAACAGGCGTCGAGCGGAGATTTCACCCATCCAGTACTTTTACAGTACGCTCGAGCGAGAAAGTTGACGCTCGAGCGGGTACCTTTGTTGCATGTCCGCTCGAGCGGGGAAACCTGCGCTCGAGCGGGATTCTGTTTTTTCTGTAAATTCTGAAACTGCTTTTTGAGTACATCTTTGCATCCTCATCCCATCCTAGGCATGCTTAGGCCTAGTTTAAGACATCTTATTGAGGATATAGATGTAGAACACACCGGGCAAATTAGGGATTAAGTTATGATATTTCCCAACTGTGTAGCTTAGTGTGTGTTCAACCTGTGAACTGTGTAGGGTTGGCGACTGGGGAGACACGCTCTAGCATACTGTAGCCCAAACTCTGTGAGTAACAATTGTGTAAAGATATGTTCAACTGAGAATGCTTTCTGACTGTTTAACGAAACAGTTTTCTGAAGTAATTATTGTTAATTGTTTGAATGTATGTCCTGTATTCTGAAATGTATTGTGGCATCCTTAGCAACTGCTGTATACTGTTACTGCTACTGTTACAGAGATCTCTGTCGGTTCCCTCGTGGAACCACTACTGTTTACTGATTGATGGCCATCATTATTGTTCGGTCTTTAAGACCTACTGTTTACTGCTATGCTAATGGATGTACCACATATGACTGAATAACTGTTCTGACTGAAAGACTGAAGTATCTGCTATGGAGCCAGTTGCAACCAGGAAATCTGAATGAAACAGCTGAGGCTATCATGTTTTTCGTGCCTATTGCTACTTCGAGCTAGTTATGCCAGAAAATTTGAATGAAACGGCGGAGCATCTTACTTACTCTTCTGCACCTCGAATTCATTGCATTGACCTAAGTTCTTCGAAACTTTTTTAACACTGTGGTGATGAAAATGAAAAGGAAGGAATTCCTCGGGATTTGTAATGTTTCCGTACTGTTATGTAGGGATTGAGTCCCTAATCTGAATGATTGAATATTGTACATACTGTTCTGTACTGTTTATGTATGAATGCATGAAAAATCTTTTTGGCATACAGACTGTCACAGCTCAATGGACATTATTTATTTACTGTATTGGCTTCCGCCAGGCCCTGTACTCTGTTTTACTGTACTACTGTTAAGCAGGCCTTCGGTAATCTCGGATTACTGGCCGGTTACGGTGCTAAACCCATAGGGCCGGGTTTGGGTCGTGACATTAGCCCATTTTAATTAATTTGGCTGAGAGACAAATTCTGCTCTATTCACTGACAGCGTTAGGAAATTAAATTAGATGAGATACTTATTAAATACAATATCAAATATTTTTACAAAAATATTTTACATAAGTTTTTATGATTGACTTCGAAAAAGATCAATAATATTATTTGTAACTAATGTATCATGGACAATACATAAAAAATTATGAATATAAGTTTTAAAATAAATTATATAATGATAAATTATACAAAATTTGAGTAAAAATTCAGTATAATAGTAATACTACGCATCATTGACATGTGATATCACCAACTAATAGTAAAGAAACACATAGAGGGTGAATTTCACATGTCAAATGTAACTAATAATTCAATAAATTTTATATCTTTATAGTGAGATTAATTATACTTGCATGTCAATAATAATAGATATCACCATTACATTTAAAATTTTTCATAAAATTTCATAAATAATACGGTTTATAATAAGAGAGATTTATTTATAAATCCCATTTAGAGGACTTATAACTCAATAAATCCATAAAGTTTTCTTATATTCCATCTAATCCCATATCTTTAGACTTGTATTCCAGGATGTCCTTTTTTTCTTATTTATAATATTTTTAGGAGTAATATACCATTTGTTCTATTTTTGATAGTAAGTATTACACACAATTGTAATATTCTTGTTTCCTTTTTCAATTTTGACAGATTTAAAATTAGTGATATAAGTTTCTTTAAAAACTAAATATATATTATTAAATTATAACATTGACATGAAAACATTGTTAAAAAAGAATCGTGTGTCACAAAGAAACTCCCATCTCTCACCCACTCTCTGTCTCCCTCTCGCTTTCTTGCCCGTTTAAGAATTAGGAAAATCACAAAACAACAAAAACTCAGAGAGATAAATTGGGTGATGATCATTAAAGATAGAAATAAAATAGAAGAAACCCAAAAAGGAGCTCATAATCATTTTTCCATTGTTGCAGTTTGAAACTCTGTGTTCTTCTATTATTACGGTTCCAAAATGAGTATTTTCCCATTGTTGCTGTGGGTGTTGATTTTTGACCACACAACCAAACGGGAAACTCAGTTGGAGAGCACTAGCAGAATAGATTAAGCCCAACAACCTGTACAAGAAGATGAGAATCCGATGGTGGTTCATGCACTCGGAGGCACTCCGATGATCAAGTCAGTAATCAATCTCTCAAAAATAGCAAATTGTGCTTAAACTCACAAGAAAGAACTTTACAAATAAAAGCATAAAAGTATCACAAATCAAATCATACCTTAGACCCACGAGGGTGCCTCACTTTTATAATGATTAGTGTCTAACTTCCTCTAGAAGTCTTAATTCATGGGACTTTATTCTTTACAAGGATAATATCTATCACAACTCACACTATTCAAATTAAGATGAACTCCCTCAAGAGT